AGAAAAACGTCAGCTTTCCTGCTCCTCTGATGCTGCTTGGCCTGCTGTGTTCATCCAGCTCTACACCTTGTTATCACAGATTCTCCAGCATCGGCAGTTCCTACTATCACATAAATTAAAATTTTACTTGTTTATAGCTGAAGCTGAGGTGAATTCTCCAGAGTACTGTTGTTTCTAAGTAACTTAAGATTGTTATATCTCATTAGAAAAATTGTCGGGAGGTAAGGAATAAATCTGAGTCCATAACATATGTAGTCAGCAACTTCTTTCGTAAGTTAATTATGCTTGTTTTACAAATTTATAGAGTCATACAGCACAGAAACAGGCCCTTCAGGCCAATCATCTGCACTGACTGGACATCCCAAACTGGTCTATTCCCATTTGCCAGCATTTGTTCCATATCGTTGTAAACCCTTCCTATTCATGTACCCATCCAGATGCCTTTAAATGTTGCAATTGTACCAGTCTCCACCATTTCCTCTAGCAGCTGAGATAGATTGTTTAATTGTTTTATGTACAGTAAAGTTGGTGTTGAGGTTTTCACGAAATGAGATCTTGTGTAGTTCTAATGGTTAACACAAAGTATTCAAATTTCTCACTAAATGTTTATAGTACCTCGCTGGATAGAAACACTCTCTGCAAACCATTGATCTAATTTACATTGGAAATACAGTTTACAGTATAGAGATGGGCTTTTGTTTACATCCAATTAGCCGTGTAGCCCAGGTTTCTGGTTTATTGGTCCAGTAATGGTTCTACTATAATACCCCTGGGACCAGGGCTGCCCCATTTCCAAAATTTACTTTTTGTCATGCTTTTTATTCAGCAAGTTAGATAAATGATTTTTATTGTCATGTGTATTATGCAATGAAAAGTGCAGTAAAATACAGTGAAAAGCTTCCACTTTACCACAATCTGGCACCATGTTGAATAGTTTAAGAATGATAATAAAAACAAAAGAAATAGTTTTAAAAGAGTCCATAACCCTTCCACCACAGACCCCACCAGCGCTGGGCCCAACCAACATTGAAGTCAGGACTCCTCAGGCGCCATCTTTCACTGCTGGGCCTACCTCACCAACATCATCTCTGCCAATGTAACAGTCGATGCCAAGTCCTGCCTCCTCATCACCACCTGCCAAAGTCCCAGTCCAGGCTCGCCAGCTGCTGCCACGCTCTGGACCCCAATGTTGCCGTCCTCCTATGGCCTTCCATCTTCCTTGTCGATGCCATCTGCTGCCATGACTAAGCTCCCCCTGGAAGGTAAATAGAAGCAAAGCCTTAATAAAAAACAAGAAAAACAAAGAAAAAAAGAAAAGCAGATTGAATGGACGAACCCTGGGCTCAGGAGCCTGGATGCTGCTTACTCTGCTGCCACAATCTTGAAGTCAAAATATTTTTTTGATTGATGCTGCTGGTTAGAGGGAGATTTTTGAAACATAAACTATGAATTGTAATTCCTTGGCAGACCAAGATGATTCACCTGAAGGTCAATAGAAGATCAGCTGAGAATTATCATAATTTCCTCCATATCCAGCCTTCACAACCATCTGTTTCAGTCAAAAGTCAACTGGGTGCAATCCAGCATTACAGAAATTCAATTCATCTTATTAAAGAGCGAACCTTCCAAATATTATCCTTCTCATTTTTTTGTTTTCTTGTGACATCTTTAACTTTACACTTTTCACATACTTTAAACATGAATGAATGACCTGAATTAATGATTTCCTCAAATGTTTCCAAATTCAAACTTTTGATCTTTGCTGCAGGAGACTGTATGCAGCACATTTTGTGTTTCATTCTAACAAAGTGCTGGTATTCAACATTGCCAAGTCATGACAATTTCTTTTCAGTAGGTCAATAACATCAGCAACTGAGATTCAACCCTCAGTACTTCATATTGTTTGTCAGTTGGAGAAATAGTTACATAGCTGCCTTTACAGAAGTTATGATCCTGGACCAGACTGCCAAATTTAAGTTAGCATCTGGCAAGGAATGAGTAAGACATTTTTTTTAAAGTTGACAGAGTGTGAGATTCTAGTCACTTACTAAGAGTCACAAGATTCCAAGGTTTTCCATAATAGTGAACTTACTATACAAAGCTAGAACAATAATACAATCTACAACATATATACAACTTATTTTCAATCAGAATTAACTTGAAGTAAAGCTTGACCACCTCACAGAATATATCAAATAGCAAATATGACTAAGTGATCCGATAGATTTCTCAGCAATACTCCTAACTTTAGTCCACTGTGGGTCATCGAATCTAATCAATCTTTAGAATGGATTACAAATGCCTAACCTAAACCAGGAATATTATGAAGCATACAAAAAACAAATGGGGCCACTAGTTCTCCCAGCCTGTCCCATCGAGTATAAATGGCTTATACTGACCTACACATTCCCCATCATTTGACCACAGTGCTCCTGAAGGGAAAGATGAGCCAGAATTCAGCTTTTTTTTTTACCACACTAATTAATGTAGCTAGATTTATGAAACAACAACAGAAATTGCTGGAAAAATACTCAGCAGGTCTGGTAGCATCTGTGGAGGGAGAGACAGAGCTAACATTTCAGCACAAGAGACCCTTCTTCAGAATGGACCAGTGGCCCATCCTTCTTACTCAGTTTTCATATGCTCCGTAGCATGTTTAGGTTAGCCAATTGTAATCCCTTGTAAAGTTTAATTATATTCGATGACCCTTCTTCTGAAGAAGGCCCTCCGGACCCGAAACGTCAATTCTGTATCTTTCTCCACAGATGCTGCCGGACCGGCTGAGTTTCTCCAGTAATTTCTGTTTCTGTTTCAGATTTGCAGCATCTGCAGTCCTTTGCTTTCTATTTGCTGGATGTATGCTTGTATAGACTGCAGGTGAGGATTGGACTGGATTGTACTCGGATAATGTAGCACAATACCAATATCGTAAAGCCACTTTGCAGAACAAATAGCAATTTCAACAGAATCCTGACACTGGAACATTGTTGAACTTTAGTAGAGATCAGATTGAAGTGGGCGGGGTTTGGGGTGTGTGTGATGAATGCCATTGAAAGCTTCAAA